GCGTGAAGTTCAAGGTTGCAGCACCAGGTGGGATGGTCAGTGGGGGCCTTCTGAGACCACTAGAAGATGAAGGAGTTGAGGGAGTGAGTCACTCAGATCTCAGGGAAGAGAGGTCCAGGCACGGGGAATGGCCAGAGCAAAGGTCCTGAGGCAGGAGGCTGGGCACGTGCTTGGCATGATCAGGGAGCAGCAGGATGGCCAGTGGGGCTGGATCAGAGCGGGGAAGTGGTGGTCCCAACCACGGAGACCAGTAGGGGAGCTTTGCTGTTGACTTTGATCAGAATGACCTTTGCAGGGTTTCGAGCAGAGGAGCAACACATTCTAAAACAATTGAAAGATTCACTCTGGTTGCCCCGCTGTGAATAGACCGAGGCGTGGACATGGCCAGGCTGAATCCTCATCATTTCTGCAATGCCTGGACTATCACCATGTCTCCGCTTTTCTCCACCGTGGCAAACTTTTTTCATGCTTAATGTTCTTCTCTCTGTCATGGACCACGTTTCCAAAATGCAGGCCAGATTATGCTGCTCTCCAGAAATAGCTGCCGGAACGAAATCCACGCTTTGGGATTCGAGTGGCATTCGAGGCTCACTGTGATCTCGCCTTCACCTGCCACTCCAGCTTCATCTCCCCTGTTCTTTCCCAGCCCGGGCACTGCCACCCTCTTATGCCTTTGCTCACATTGTCCTCTCTTTTTCTGTCCAGAAAAATCTTTTTTTCTTATGTCCCATCTCCTCTTAAATGCCTCTGCAGAATCTCTAAGACAGATTGAATTTCTCTGAGCACTCACACTTGGGAAGGGTGTTTGAGTCTGTGAAGCACACAGTTATTCTGGTTGCATTATAGTTACTCAGCGCCACGTAGGTTGTAAGCGTTTTGTGCTCATCTTTGTGTCTTTTGATCCCTCAGTTCCTTGAAAAGAGCCTTCCTTACTCAGCTTTTGAAATCGTTCTGCTCAGCCAGATTTTTCACTTCGGTCTTACAGATTGAAGCTCTGGTGAAGGATATGCAGAACCCAGAGACGGGGGTCAGAATGCAGAATCAGAAGATCCTGGTCACCAGCATCCCGCATGCCATGACAGGTAATGTATCTTGTGATTTACAGGCCCTGCGCAGGGGCTGGCAAACTATAGCTCACGGACCAAACAGGCCCGCAGCCTATATTTGTAAATAAAGTTTTATTGGAACACGTCTACCTCCTCATTTATGTATTGTCTTTGGCTGCTTTTGTCCTCCAATGGCAGAGTTAAATATTTGTGCAGAGACCGTATAATGGCCCACAAAACCTAAAATATTTACTTCTAGCCCCAAATATTGCTGATTGCTGGACCACAGGCTCCTTCTGAGGAAGGGGTCACAAAGGAAGGAGAAAAGGACTTAGGAGGTCACTTTGTGAAGCCATTCCTCCTGGGAGGCCATTTAAAAAACTTGTACTGTCACTTTTTGTTTGTTTGCCTTGTCTGTTTTGTCTTAATGAAATCAGGTAGCAGGAAAAGAGTACTGATTTCTCCAACTTTCCCTCCAATGCATATTCAGACCCTTCTTAACTACTCATGGGGATAGCCCCATTGTCTTTTTTCTCTGGGTGTGGGATAAAGGGCTGCAGAGCCTCTTTTGAGGATATAGGCAGAAGAGGCTGAACCCTGAAGTAAGAATGCATTTCGATAATTGTGTTGCATGCGTTTTATGATTTTGGGTTTGCAGTAAAGGGTATATTTTGAGGCATCTTGCCTACAGAAGCAGACAGCTTTTCAGAGCACGTGCTGGGGACTTGCCCCTGTGCTGAGCTCCCTGTGAGCCCTCACTCTGTACCCCTCCCACGACCTGACTATTAATTTTCCACTCAAGATGTCCTAGTCTTTGCAGAGGCGAGCTGCCTAATGGTCTCCCATTTCCCTTTCTGCCAGCTTGGAGGAAGGGGTGCCCCTGCCAGCCGTGTGTCACTCAAGGTTCCTTGAGTGCAAGCAACAGACCAACTCTGGCTAGTTGGAGCAAAAGAGGAATTGATCAGAATGTGACAGGGTAGCCTCCCCAAGAGAGGGAAACCCTTTGACGAGCCAGACTTGAGAAAGGCCAGGAACTGGAGTAGCTCGGGCACCTAAAGATCAGGGATCAGCGGGCACACCTTTCAGGGTGCCTCTGCTCTCACCCAGTGGTTAAGGAGCAGCTGTGGCGATTCTGAAGGCATCCCTGCCCCTGTCCCCTCTCTGCTCCTGGCTTGAATTCTCCACTGGATTTGAAAGGGGAGAAATCTCACCTTGCCCATCTGGGTAACCCCAACGCTTAGCATAGCTGTGGGTCAGGGTGGAGCTTTCATGCAAGTTTGTCGAATGCGCGAACCAGTCCTGGTCTAGCACTGTGCAAAGAGCACTGGATGTTGAATCAGGCTCCCTGGGGCCGAATCATTTGGGTGCCTTTTTCTAGCTGCGTAAACTTAGTCTCAGTTTTTTTCATTTTAGAAGCAGAACTAGCGATCCCTGTCTAAGGGAACGATTGCAGGAATGACACGAGATAGTGCTGTGCACGTGGTCAGCACAGAGTGGATGCTCCAAGGGTGGCAGTAGCTAGCAGTTTCCCACACTACATGGCAAAGTTAGGGATAGATAAGGCCATCCCCTCTTTGCAGATGGGGCCATGGAAATGCAAAGAGGTTCGGCAACTTGTCTCTGTGTCCCTAAACCCCTAAACTCATGGCTGAGCTTGGGTGACTCCAGAGTCCGTGCTCTCATCCACTGGCAGAGTGCGTGAGCCGCTTTCCCTCCTGGCTTCCTGGGTTTGAGCGAGACTGCCCACCCTGCCATGTTTTCCCTTGTTGCTCCTGCTGGTGAATTCCAGCTGCTGTCAGAACAGGGCACAGGAAGAGCCTTGTCATGTAGCTGCAGCATCCACGCTAATCAAAACAAATTGGGTAATTGCCATCCATCTCCTCGGATGGCAGGTGACCCAGGACTTTTGGGGATGAAGGTGGCTGACGCAGGAGCCGCTGTGCTGTCGGCACAGACCACGCGGCCCCGTAATCTCATTTGATCTATTTCAGGAAGTGGTCAAGTGCATGAGAAAACCCTCGGCTCCTTGGCGGACAGCACTAATCAGTCTGCTGTCTGCCTGGGCCTCTCCCCCGGTCTGCGTACCGCTGCATGGCAGTCACTGAGACTGGAGAGGGAAAGTCTAAAACACACCGTCCTAGAATTTTAAATAGGAATTTAGATGAAGAATTTTCCTCCTGAACAGCCAGCCGGGAGTTAATAAAGCCAAGGGCAACGGAGAAGAACCCAGTGGAAACGATCATGGTTGGCACACGGGCACTGACAGAGATAATGGCTGGACATTGTGCCTTAGGGCGTGGGCGGGAAGGGAAGAGCGACAGGTTGGCCATCCTCAGCCATGCTGTGGGCAGATAATTAAGCCCCGAGAGTGTGTGAGCGGGCCACAAGGGCCCTCCCTGGAGGGCACCAGAGGAAATGACCCTTCACCCCTTCCTAGGAGGGACGTCTCATTCGTAGCAGTCCAGCTACAGGGACTCAGGCAGTGACCTCCTTTCTGGTGTGTTTTGTGGGCTGGTTCCCGTGCAGACAGGGGACCCAACTCGGCCTTCGTACAGCAGGCTGAAAGTTGCTGGAAAGTGAGGTCATTGGCATTTGCAAGATGGTGTCTGAATTGCGGTGCTTGGTTCCAGGTCAGCTTGTCTTTCTTCTGAGATGAGCTGCCCTCCTCCCACAAGGAGCATGTTCTGCTTCTGGGGCTGGAGAGTCCAGGTCGAGTGGGAGGCACACAGTGTCCCTGGGGTCCCACGGCAGTTCTGCGCTTGGTGGAAGTGGTCTCGCCTGGGCCCTTAGATAGATGTGAATGCCTGGTGGGCGAGCGGGCGGGCGGGGTGCACGTTCTCTCCTGATCTCATCTGCCTCTCCTGCTTTTCTCACATCACTCTTCACTCTGCATTGTTCCCAGACCAGTCCCTAAAACTTGCAGAGCCCAGGGCAAGAGGACAAAGAATATGAATGGGGCCCACATTGTCCAAAGTTATAAATCACCCTACCAAGAGTTACTGAAATATGTGCCATACTCCTGCTTTGACTAAAATACCTTCGTAATGACCTGGGAGGCCAGGTTTAAATTTAGAGTTCTCCGACTCCTCAGCGTTCTGCATGGGAACATGAGGGCGTAGGAGAACCCCGCCCTTAGCGCACCCCCACTTCTCCTCCCGTCCCTGGCTCTGATTTACTCTCGTGTGTCCAGGCTCCATCTAGAGGCCCACGGACATCTTGTCTTGGCTCTGTTTTTTTTTTTTCAGGGTAAGGCTTAGTCTGTTTATTTCCTAACTCGATGAATGCTAGTCCATGCACAAAGCATTCTAAGGTAAGAGGATCAGTCCCACGAGAGAGACGAAGACTGAGGGTGTGTAGGAGAGGTTAAGCTGCAGGTAGGGCTGGAATCAGATCGTGGATGACCCTGAATTAGGGCTTCGGGGTTTGTTGTGAACAGAGAGGGAGGGTCCCTGAAAGTTTTGAGCAGAAGAAGGACGAGGTCACAGCTGGGCGGGGAGAAGGCCAGCCAGGCAACGGCAGATGTGTTAGGAGGCTCTGATGACGGCCAGACACTTCTGTTTTGCAGGGAGTGATGTTCTACAATGGATCATCCAGCGGCTTTGGATCTCCAATCTGGGTGAGAGCTCATCTGACACTCATCTGCTGAGGAGGACTGTGTGTGCAGCGCCCCCCAAAGACTCTCTGGAGGGTAGAAGCTAAATGGAGGCTTAGCCCGTGTCTCTGAGAAACTGACAGTTTAATTGGAGAGACAAGTGTAAAACAACCAGAATCAAAAGTGATGGCGTGATCATTGGGGGACAAACTCGTTTCATAGAAAATTTCGAGAGCATGTAAATAACGGGTAAATGGGAAGGAGTCAGTCAAGAAAGACTTCTTGGAGGGGGTGATGCATACGCGCGTCTGGTCTCGAAAGAGACGATGCTCGTGAATTGTGCAGGGGAGCTCAGAGGGGACACTAGCAAGGGCAATGGCGTAGAGACGGAGCGAAGCAGAGGTGGAGTGGTGCGGAGGGGAAGTTGGTGGAAACATCTTCAGCTGGATACAGATGGCAGTGGAGGGATGGCAGTGCCTCGGGCACATCTGCAGATTCCACAGGGCATCTGGGAGCTAGGCAACAGGAAGCTATGGGGAATTTTTGAGCATGGTGGTGTGTGCGATAATCATGTCTAAGCTAGGACGTTTGACGGCAGCTTGAAGGATGGATTGGAGCAGAAAGAATCTGGGGAGCGGACTTCCCACTAGAAAAAAAGGCTGTTGGTAAAACAGGCATGAAAAATGAGGGTCTGGTCCGTGATGGAAGGAGTGAGCTGTGACGAGGGAGGGTTGGGGAGAAAGTCCTCCCGAGGCTTGGAGGCTGAGCTATGGGATGGCATGTGGGTTGAGTCCTGGGGCAAGGCGGGTCTGGAGGACTCTCGATGATGGAAAGACACCTGCTTTCCTTGGTGACACCTGCCTCTAAGAAAGAACCAGGACAGTTTTCTCTTAACTGATGCAAATTCAGAAACAAGACTATGTGTCCAAGCAAACAGAAGTGGGGGTGAGATTAAAGTGAGGTGGGGAGGAGCCAGAGGATCTGTACCTGGGATGCAGGCGGAGCTGACCTTGGAAGAGAAATTGACAATAAATGTGGCCTCTCTTTTCCATGGAGTGAGGAAGTGTCTGTTGGCCAAACAGAGACATTCTCTCCCTGCTCCTGGGGACTTCTCTAGACCCAAAGGGCCCAAAGAAGCTTCTCCAGGATTTCCCCGTCACCCCTCAACACCTGCGGTGGATCACCTGTGGCACCTGTTAGCTCGCCTCCAGACCTACTGAGTTGTTATTCCTGGAGATCTGGCTGGGGAATCCTCCTTAACAGCTGCTCCCCAGCTGATACTTGTTCACAGCCAAGTTCAGCAGCCAATGTCTTCACTTCTTAGATGAAGTGCTGTTAGTACTGCTGGAGTTTGTGGTGTGAGAATTGAACTTCTACCTTTGGCCTCTGCTCTTAACTTCCATGTTGCAACTGCTTCTCTGCAGAGGCACAGAACTTGGGCAACTTCATCGTCAAGTATGGCTACATTTACCCCCTGCAAGACCCCAAGAATCTCATTCTCAAGCCCGACGGCAGCCTCTACCGTTTTCAGGTGAGTCTTGGGTATTAATACGGGGTTAATGGGGTTAATCTTATCTGAAGAGGTAGTTGCTTGGCTTCGTATCCTCGCAGATCAGAACTTTAGAAACAGTGGGAGCAGGGAGGCTGAAGAAGTTTTATCTCTTGAGCCATCTGGCTGGGAGCTCGGGGTCACAGCCCACTGTTTAAGCCAGGTCTCCTGGTTCCTTTTACAGACGCCGTATTTCTGGCCGACCCAGCAGTGGCCAGCCGAAGATACAGACTATGGTAAAACTCTCCCTCGTGCCGGTGGTGGTGCTTGACATGCTCCTTATTTGCTCCCTGCACGTCAGGGACGTTTGTCTCGCTGTCATCACAACCTGTCAGTTCACATCTGTGTTGGGCATGTTCCTGGGGGAGGGAGTGGGTCTGCTGAGAGTTTTCTGCACCAGGCTGAGCACAGCAGCCTCATGCACAGAGAGGCTGCAGATGCGATTTTAAAATATGATGATGATGGAAGATGTGATTGTTTCCTTCTCCAGCCATTTATCTGGCCAAGCGAAATATCAAGAAGAAAGGAATTCTAGAAGACTATGAAAAGGTACAGAGATGCTTTCAAGCACAGGTTATTATGATTGAGTGGAATATAATCTTGAACCATTTTTTCCCCCTGTTACCTCATTGCTATATTCATATGTATTCTCATCATCCATCCAGCCATCATCCATGTCCATCTATCCATCCATCCATCATTCATTCATCATCTATCCATCCATCTATCCATCCATCTATCCATCATCCATCCATCACCCACTCATATATTTAGAAGCAGCCCCCTGAATTAAATTTTCCCCACGTTGAGCTTTAGTTTCTCCTGCTATAATTTAAGCCCTTGTTGTCCTAAAACAATATGACTTAATATATATGATAATGCATATTATGTGGTGAACAGATTTGATTTGAGCTTGTGATGGGAAAACAATAGTATAGACTTTTGTTTTAGGCTCAATGAGTCAGATTTCTCAAAGGACACACCCTAACCCTCAAAAGGCTAGATTTTTGGGCAGATGGCCACAATTTGGCTGTGTTTTTATTCTTTACAAACATGTTTTTAGAAGAGCCAGTATCACACAATATTAGTCTTATCTTTGCGGATTTACGATGTTCTCTTGTTAAATATTGAGTTTCCATATTCTCCCTCATACTATGCCCCTCTTCCTAATCAGATTTGGGATACATTCATTAAAATAAAATCCAAGCCGAGTTGAAGGCTTTCTGAGAGTTTGGTGCTACCCCTTGAATGAGCGCCTTTGCAGAGCTGGGGTGGGAGGCCCTGTGGCCGGGTCTAGTTGCCACAGAGACAGGGGCACACCCTCACTGACTTAGGGCTTTCTGTCCCCTGCATGTGGCATATGTCATGGAGCTTAATGTTCTCATTTTCTTCTCCTCCTTTAGGAAAATTACAATTTCTTGAATAAAAAAATTAACTACAAGTGGGACTTTGTCATCATGCAGGCCAAAGAGCAGTACAGGTGAGTGAAAGGTGACATTCGTCCTCTGGTTGTCCTTCCCTCCCTTCCTTCTTTGTTTTCTTTCGTTAAAATAAACACTTGTTGGTCATTTATGTGTCCAATTGGGCTAGGCCTAGGGAATAAAAGACAGTCTAGTGGATCAGGCAGTTGAGCCGACAGGCTATGATGCTGCAGTGAGGGGAGAGCCAAGGGCAGAGCTTTGCAGAAGCAGCAGTAGAATCGACATTGAACCCGTAGGCTGCACAGGAAGTGTCTAGGTGAGGGATGATGATGTTGGATAGAGAGTGACGGGGGAGGAACGGTGGTCTAAGCAGACAGCACCAGAGCCTGGAGGCAGCAGAGGGCCGCCTGAAGCACTTCCTTGTAGCAGGAGTGGAGAGCGGAAAGCCTGGAGCTGGCAGGAGTGAGGCCGGGGATGCACGTCGTGAGAGCACGTTGTGCTGAGGGCCATGGCTGGGGGGAGCGAGAAAGCTTTTAAGCGGGGGAGGGATCTAATCAGATTTACACGTTAGAACCACCCGCTGCTGCTCTCATTGGCCTGCGGTCCACATCGGGACTGGCACCGACATCACCCTAGGGCTCTGCCTTGTCTGTGAGAGCCGGATGTAAATGTCGGGGAGAGTGTATCAGTCAGGACGAGCCTAGGCTATTGTAACAAACAGCCCCCACCTCTCGGGAGTGTGAAACCGCAGGGTGCACTTCTTGCTCGTGTTACATACCCACTGTGGGTCAGCGGGGGCTCTGACATGCGTCGTGCCCACTCCAGGACCCACGCTGAAGGAGCAGCACCATCTGGGCTTTGCCTGTGTTGAGAGCGGTGGGGGCGAGAGGCTGTGCGGGTCACAAGTGGTACATGTCACTTCTGCTCACACTTCATTAGCCAGGGCAGGCTAAATACGCACCTGACTGCAGAGGCGGATGAGCGAGGATGGACAGTGCTTCCGTGTGGCTGAGATGTGTGAGTGTCAGCACTACCTGGGGACCGATACCAATGAGTGCCCAAACGGAGACGTGCAGCTGGCCTAGCCTCACTCACCCTGACAGGTCCTGATCCTGGCAGGCCTGAACCTGCTGGGCTGGATGGTGGAGACCCCAGTCTCATGAAGCAGCCTGGGGACCAGACTGGTGTCTTAGTCGGGTTCTCAAGAAAAGAGAACCAATAGCATATACATACGAAGAGATTAATTATAAGGAATTAGCTCCCACAGTTAAGGAGGATAAAAAGCCTCAGGATCTGTATCTGGCAAGCTGAGGACCCAGGAGGGCTGAAGCTGTAAGGTCCAGTCTGAAAGCTGGCAGGCTCGATGCCCAGAAAGGGCTGATGGGTCAGTTTGAGTCTGGAGGCAGGAAAAGACTGACGTCTCAGCCCAAGGCATTCAGGCAGGAGGAGTCCGCTCTTATCTGTGGGAGGATTGGCCTTTTGTTCTATTCAGGCCTTCAGCTGAAAGCTCGGTCATCCAAAAACACCCTCGAGACACACCCAGAATAATGTCTGACCAAATCTCTGGGCACCCCGTGGCCCAGCCAGGTTGACACATAAAATGAACCATCACAAGAGGTGAGTGCTCCGAGGCAGGGGTGCCAGCGAGGAAAAGCAGAAATTCTAATGGAGGAATGGCGTTATTGCCTCCCGTGAGGGAAAAGTTGTTCTTGGGGCTTAGATGCAGACAGAAGAACGTCCTGAGAGAGCGGGCACTGCCCTTTCACCACCGATATGATATGTTTTGACCTGGGCATATTTGAGACAAAGCGACGTAGGGGTGGTTTTTTAAATCTTTCATCGCCTTTTTATCAGGCTCCATTTGGCGAGTCCTGAGTACTGTGTTCGTTTCTGTTGGCGAGAGGGAAATGAAGGGTTCTCGTCACCCCTCACATCTACGAATGGGGCTTATGTCCACTCGGCCGCGGCCACCCGCCGAGACAGCATGCAGCCTGGGCTAGCATTGCTTATTTCCGTTCGGTGCGCCAGTTTGGAATTCCTACTGGGTTCCGCTCTCGCCCCCCACCCCCCGCCCATGAGAAGGATGAGCCCAGTGATCCAAAGGACATAGGCCTTCCAGGGTGCTCTTGCAGCTGAGAGTTATTCTGGGGGGCCCCCACAGGCCCCACCACGCAGGCCTTGGCCTCCCGCTCTGTGCCGCCCACATCGTGGGGCACTTCCCTTCTCCATTCTCCTCCAGATGCTTGGGAATGGGCCGTTTCTAAAAGGCTCTGTCCTTCGGAGATGCTCACTTTCCCCCACTAATTCCATTGCTCGACTCGAAGCCTGCCTCTGATTTCTGATTGAGGGTCTATGGTAGTTAATTTTATGTGTGGACTTGGCTAGGCCACGGTACCCAGATCTTTGGTCCAACACCCGCTTAGATGTCATAGTGAAGGTGTTGTTTGTTTGTTTGTTTGTTTTTAGATGAGATTAACATTTACATCAGTAGACTTAAGGTAGAACAGATGGCCGTACGTAGTACGGCTGGGCCTCATCCAGTCAGTTGAAGGCCTTAAGAAAAAGACCGAGATTCCCTGAGGAAGAAGTGGTTCTGCCATTAGACTGTCTTTGGACTCGAGTTGCAGTGTCGGCTCTTATTGGGTCTCCAGCCTGCCGGCCCGCCCTGTAAAATTTGGACTTGCCAATCTCCTCACTCACGTGAACTGATTTCTTAAAATAAATTCATTAATCCTCATCCCTGCTTTCCCCTATCTACTTATCTATTATCTATCTATCTATCTATCTATCTATCTATCTATCTATCTATCTATCTATCTATCTATCTATCATCTATCTATCTATCTATCATCTATCATCTATCTATCTACTATCTATCTATCTATCTGTCTGTCTGTCTGTCTATCTATCTATCATCTGTCTACACACGAGCACATATACATTTCTGCCCTCACCTTTCCTGAGCCTTTTCTTGAAGTCTGTCTTGGACTTTATAACAAAATGGTAGCATCAAGGCAGGCAGATTGCTTACTGGTGGTTGGAGCAGGGGTCCCCAAACCCTGAGGCCATGGACTGGTACCAGTCTGTGGCCTGTTAGGGACTGGGCCACACAGCAGCAAGAGATGAGTGGCATCGAGCAAGTGAAGCTTCATCTGTATCTGCAGCCGCTCCCCAGCGCTAGCATCACCACCTCAGCTCCACCTCAGGTCACCAGGCATCAGATTCTCATAGGAGCAACAGTCTCTGGTGCCAAAAAGGTTGGGGACCACTGGGTTGGAGTTTTCAAAGGCAAATATTCCAGTGAGAAGGGTGGCAGCTGTCCTGCCTTTTATGGACCAGCCTTAGAAGCCACACAGTGCCACTTCTGAGTACTCTGTTCATTGATACAGTCTCACAAAGCCACCTGGTTTCAAGGAGAGGGGACATAGGCCCATCTCTCAATGAAAGGAGTGTCGGAGAATTATCGACATATTCAAAAGTCACCACCCCTGATTCTGCATTACAGGCTCCTGAACACTTCTTTATAGCACATAATGCAATTCGTAAATTTTGTATTTATTTCTTGAACTATTTGTATAATGTTTAGACCATTAGTCTGTGTATTAGTCGTCTTGGGCTGCCATAACAAATACTGTAGGCGGGGTGACTTAAATAACAGACATTAGTTTTCTTACAGTTCCGGAGGCTGGAAAGTCCAAGATCGAGGTTCTGGCAGGGTTGGGTCTCTGGTGAGGGCCTGCTTCCTGGGTTGCAGATGGCCGTCTTCCTGTTGTATCATGTGGTGGGTGGAGGTTGGGGTGGAATGGGCAGGGGATAGGTAGATGTGGGGAGGTGGGGAGAGAAACTCTCTGTTGTCTCCTATTGTTAGGGCGCTAACCCCATCGTAAAGGTCTCATCATTATGACCTCATCTAATTACCTCTTAAAGGCCCTATCTCCAGAGGCCATCACATTGGGGTTAGGGCTTCAATATTCAAAATTTGGGGAGACAGATATTCGATCCATAGCAGTCTGTTTGGTCCACCAGTAGACTCTCAGTGCTTGGAGCATAGTAGGAAATAAATACACACATGATTGAATGAATGGATACTTGATTGAATGATACCGTTGCTAAAATAATGATGCTAATAATAAGACAAACTAACATAATCCCTTGTTTACTGACTCCCTTGGATTCCATTCATCATGATTCTCCTCCAGGAACATCTATCAGAGAAGAGCAAAGCCAGGAAGGCCCATGGGAGTAAATGAACCATTCACTCTATTTACATAGCTGTCCAGCAACCTGGAAACCCCACAGTGCCCCGGGCTCCCGAGGACACGGGGTAGTTAACCTGGTAGAAAATCGAGTTAGGTTGGCAAGGGGAAGCTGGAGCAACAGTGTTTGTATTTAATTTCCCAAGGAGGCTGGCAAAACACCCCACTGGAATGGCGCCTTCGACCCATCTGGGTCTCTGGATGTATTCACAATACATTAGCTGGCAAATCTGCCGACTCTGTCTTGCAGAGGGCGTGTGTGTCATCCCACGTTGCCTCAGAAAACAAGCATTACCGCGTGCGAGTGCAGGTCGCCGTACGTGGAAATGGTGCTGACTGGGGCCCAGGGCACGATAATGTTGCTCAGCTCCCACAGGAGGAAGCACAGTGTCACTTCTCATCCATAATGGGGAAGCGGGAGACCGAGAGATAAGAGGGAAAATAAATAGCCTTTTACAATGATAAGTTGGGCTCAGAAAAACCCTGGCTTGACACACACTCTCTGAAGTGACAGAGTGGAAATGACAGCGGGGAGACACGAGGACTCCCCGAGGCCAGCCTTTTTCCCATCGCAGGCTCTGGCATGGCTCGCTGCCTGCTTGTCCAGATGCCGATTGTGTGGTTTACCAAAGCAGGGAAAATGAAGAAGGCAGGTGGCCAAATGTCAGCCCAGAAGGTCCTCCACGCTCACTCCAGTGGTGAAGTCGATGGTGTTGATCCGATTCTGGGGCTCGTCATGGGGGTGGTCGCGTCCAGCACAGCGCTCTCGGGCAGAGCTGGACTCTGTCTGGGGCCAGACTCCTGGTTCGAGTCTCCTCCCCTGCCATTTGCTGACAGTGCGACCCTGGGCCAGGCGAGGCGTTCAGCCTTTTTTTTTGCTTCAGTTTCCTGAACTGCAAAGTGAGAAAAGGTCGCTGGGTGGATTAAATGAGTTAATACATGTGAAAGCATTTAGCAAGGTACCTAGCACGTGAGTGTCACATGAGGGTTTGCTATTTTCATTATCATGGCAAACATGGATTAGTTGGCCAAGTTGGGAGAGCGGTCTGGGTCATCAGGAATGGGGTCTGTCACTGAGCAAAAGGAAGAGTCTTACTGGCCTTACCTTTGGCTTTTGGCTTTTCAGGACCGGAAAGGAAAGGAATAAAGCAGACAGGTATGCATTCGACTGCCAGGAGAAGGCATATTGGCTGGTCCACCGGTGCCCTGTGAGTATCCTTCCTGGTTTCACCCATCTCTTCTGTGCCTCCCTACCCCCGCCCTGTACTCACCACCCCTTCTGCTGGCTCCTGTTCCTCTGGGGTGGGAACTGAGTCACAGGAGGAGCTGCTCAGTGTTGAGTTAGCATCCCGAGCCTCTTGGCTGGAAGAGGAAATTGCACTGCCTGGGTGGTCTTTGCTTGTGGGGCACCTGGTGGTGTTAGGGCCAAGTGAATTACCTACGCCAGGGACCTGAATCCTGAATGAGTTTGTCTTTTAAGAGGGCTAGGACTTTTTTTTTTTTTTTTTTTTGCTTACCTACCTCGGAAAAGGGATACATGAAGACGAAACTAGAACATAGCCTCCAAAGCAGAAAAATAAAATGCCTTGGGGACCTGACACTCTGCATAGCCAAAGCCATCCTTGTGTCTCTGCCCCTCCCCCTTCTTTTCCGCTTCTGGATTCAGTCCTCAGAGGCTTGATGGGAGGGGGCGAGAAGAATAAGTACGTGCTAAGCCTCATCGCTTTGAGCGCATTGCTTCTCTGGCTGTGGGGCTTTAAGTGGCCCAGAGAGACAAGCTGTACGTAAGTGATGTAACTTGTCACAGCTCATCACTGGGAAATATAGACTCGTCTCCCGGCACGGAGAAGCAAGCTGTAACTGTCACCCACTGGGGTTAACTCCGCTGCCTCAGTTTACTCCTATGTCAGACTCATGTGCTGCGGGCGGATCATGGGAGGCGGGAGATGTGAAAGGGATTTTGAAAAGTGAAGAGTTCAAAACAAATGTTCTTCCCTTTCCTCCTTTAGTTTTCTTGTTTGCCAGGGAACTAAATTCTCAGAACCAGAAAGCAAACTGGGTCAGTCACGGTGCCAACGCTTCTGGATTTTTGAACTTCGATCCCATCAGATTATGGCTGTTTTGCTTATTTTCTTTTTACACTCAAAACGAATACCTTGTAAAGTGTTCCATCTTGGGAGCATGGTTTTGGATGCCTTGTTGCTGGGGTGAAGGCCCTGGGGTTGATCCCCAAGAAGCTTGTTTGGTTTTCCTTTGTTTCCAGGCTTCTCCTCTAGGTGAAATCAGTTAGCCCGCCACGGGTTCCTGGGGACTGGTATAGGAGGGTGACAGAGCCCAGGGTCCTGGAGAAACAGAGTCAAGTGCACGCCTCTCCACTGGGAGTTCAGGAGGGAGATCTTAACAGGAGAAGGGAATCATGCATTGTTTAACCTGCATTTAGTCACTTGTTCCTAAGGGGGGCCTCGGAGAGGATAATGGCAAATGGCCAATAAACCACTCACTTGGCAAGATGCCCTGGTGCCCAGGGGCACCCATAGTTGAGGGCACCCTGCTCCTTGCAGGGTGGAGAGTGGCTCCCGTATTCCACGTAGAGACTCCCCCGGTGTGGGAGGCCAGCATGGCCACACCCCTTGCAAAGTGGCGAAGACTGGCCGTGCGCAGGATCTGCCCGGGGTCCCTCTCCTCCCCTCTGACCCTGAACCCAGGGGGCCTGTGGGGAACAGAATGAAATACAGATTATCCGAGTTCTCCTCCATTCTCCTGGGCAAGCGCTCAGCCCCCACGCCAGGCAGGTGACTGAGTGGCCCTGCACAGTATGATTCAGAGGCACCGAGGTTTGACAGCAGCGTGTCTCTGGGATGCGTACTTCCATCGTCACCTCCCCTGCCCCCACTTTCTCTCTCTCCGTCACCACCACTGTCATTGTCGCTATCATCCCCGCAGACCTGAATCGAGGACTTTCAGTGCGCCGGGCACCGCCCCAAGCATCATTTTGCATTCGCTGTCTTGTTTCGTCTTTGCAGTCCTGTGTGGAAGGTCATATGATTTGTCCTGTTTTGATGATAAGGAAGCGGAGGTTCAGGGATGTTGCTAATTGGCCAGAGTCACACAGCCACTGGGTGCCCGAGGATCTGAACCTGCAGACTGCACAGCTTTTCCCTCTCAGTCCCGATACCCAGGCCTCCCACGACAATGTCATGTGATGTCTCGTGCATTTAAGGCCTTTTTGTAAACTCCTTGGCCATCAGAGCATTGCATGAGTCACTGCTGTTCTAACAAGCATGCTGCCAGGGTTCAAAGGTGCCTGGTTCCTCTTTGATAGCTCTGGGAGCCAAATTCATAATGAGGCTTTGATGTACTCAGAGCTGTCGCAAAACTCCTTGCACACAAACTGCTCATCACGTCTGGTCTCTCTCGAGTCAAAACCCCCGAGTCAAAACCGGGCCAGTGGTAAAAGATGAGGCTGCAGTGTGTCTAGGTCCTGCTGTCCACCCCTTTCTTTAAAACACTTTCAGCCTCTTGGTGGCCTGGAAGCCTTGGGGTTAAGAGAACGTCCTGTTTGAAGTTTGTCTCAGCCTAGAAATTGAGCAAACCCAGGAAGCCAGGACTCGGACTGTCAGACTGTCTCCCAGAGACCCAAACAAACTGTCAGTTCAGTGGGAAAAAAGCCCAGCCAGCCAGACAAACAAAGCATTTGGCTCAGCAGAGTGTAGAGCAGCCAGCACATGGGCTGTCTGTAACCCACTGTAGTGTGGGGGGACACGGCCTGTAGGCACCAAATCGATTCATTCCCCCCGTTCCCTTCTGTTCATTAGTCTGTGAAACCTTTATGGGGCCCTGACTCTGCGCCAGCTAAGTGGTCAGGTGCTGGGCATAAAATAACAGCCGAAGGTCCCTGAGCGCCTACCGCGTGCCTGTGTCAAGCTCTTGGCACAGATGGCCTCATTCACCTGAGGACGATGCTGTGAAGTGGGGAGTATTATCCCCATTATTGAGATGGGGAGATCAAGGCTCAGAGCTTCAGTAGCTTGCACGGTGCTGGCTGTGAACGCATGTCTGTCTGACATGCTGTGGAAGGGGCACCCACACGCGGCCCCTCCGTCAGCTCCAGGAGCTCCGACCCAGATTGCCACAAAGGGTGAGCAGTGCTGTCTGGGAGATAAGCCCCACGTGCCGAGGGGACACAGGGAGGAACGATTAATTAAGGAACGTCATGACAGACGTATCAGGGGTGTCGTCATGGGCGGAAGCCAAGATCCGATGTGGGTGGTGGTGGCCGAGGAGTCTGGCCCCCAATCCCATCCTGAGCCCAAATGCCACTCCTGACTCTGCATCCCGTAATGAAGGAAAATGATGTTCCTCTTTCATTTTTTTACCCAAATGAAACAAAATACAGATCTGGGCATGATGCAAACAGTAATTGTGTAAATGAGCAGAGGGAGAAGCGTCTCCTCTAGCAAAGTCACGTTGGGGCCTCTCGTGCATCTTTGCTGCACCGTCTGTGACTTTGTGTCTCTGGGGACATGGGCTGCTGGCATATGGACCACAAAGATAGGAAGGACGTGGTCCCGGGACAATGGTGGTCACTCTAATCAAGCGGTCACTTATCTGAATATCAAGCTAGACAGCCTTTGTTTCAACCACAAATGCAGACACTCACCAGAGAAGGTGAAGTCTGCCCTCCGTTTCCTGTTGAGATGGGTTAAATGTCGAAATGGAGCTTATGGCAGACGAGGACTACAACTGTCGCACAAATGAACGCGTGTCGTACAGAATGTCAGGGCAGCTGCGAGAGAGGCGGGCTCCCGTGTCGGATCGGGGGTCTGCAGACATCTGTCCCTGGAAGTTACACTCAAGCCGAGATCCACTTGAAGCAGACTTTTGCAACCTTTCCATCTCTGTTTCAGCCTCATCTCTGCCTCTTTCCCCTGTTTTATTTTGTTTGTAAAATGGTTTGGTATTTTATTTATTGTTTTCTGTCCCATGCACCAGAAGGGTCTAGCCTGATACGCTAGGGAAGAGGGCGGTGATGAGGCGGGGAGAGGAGGCTGCTGCGGGAAGGAACAGGGGGGGCCTGGGGGTGTGTCACCAGGATGTGCAATGGGCTCCTACCCTGGCTCCTCTCTGGA